CAGGCCCCTCCCCCCGGCCGGAATTCCCCGTTTCCCCCAGAATTCGTGGGGGTTTTTATCCCGAAATCCCCCAACTTTTTAACCCCAAATCTCCCCATTTTCCCCCTTCAAGCCCCCTCCCCTTCAAGCCCCGCCCCTTTCTCACCTTGGCCACGCCCCAGGACCCCACCCTGGGCCCGCCCCCCTCATCGGGTGGGGGGAGGGGCGGCTCCGGCCTGGGGGGAGGGGCAGGGCCCAGGAGGAAGAAAAAACTGGGGGGGAAAAAAACCACGGGAAACGGGAAAACGATGGGGAAAACCCCCAAATCCAGAGGGGGGGAGGGGCCGAGGGAGGCCCCGCCCCCTAGGCAGGGATTTCGGCGGGAAAGTGGGGAAACGGGCCAAATAAAAACGGAATTTTGGGGTAAAAAGCGGGAATTTGGGGCCTCACCTGAGCAGCATGGCCGGGGGCAGGGCCAGGGCGGGCAGCAGCGCCTGGGGGAGGGGCAGCAGCGCCCGCAGCCCCCAAAACCCCAGAGCCCCGCCCAGCCCGGCCGCGCCCGTCCCCGACGACCAATAGGAGAGCCCGGAGCTGCGGGGGGAGGAGCCAGGTCAGGCCACGCCCGCTCTGGGAAGTGCCATTTTTGGGGTTATTTTAGGAGCCGCCCCCCGGGTTTGGGGTGTGGCCAAAGCGGGTGTGGTCCCAGGTGAGGCCACGCCCCCTTACCTGGAGTAGGAGGATGCCAGGGTCAGGAAAGTGACCTCGCCCAGCCCCACCCCCGCACTGCCCAGAGCGATCCCTGAGTGACCAAAGTGACCACAGTGACCCCTGAGTGACCCTGAGTGACCCCTGAGTGACCCTGAGTGACCCCTGAGTGACCCTGAGTGACCCTGAGTGACCCCTGAGTGACCCCTGAGTGACCCCGAGTGACCCTGAGTGACCCCTGAGTGACCCTGAGTGACCCTGAGTGACCCCTGAGTGACCCCTGAGTGACCCTGAGTGACCCTGAGTGACCCCTGAGTGACCCCTGAGTGACCCTGAGTGACCCTAACTGACCCCTGAGTGACCCTGAGTGACCCTGAGTGACCCTGAGTGACCCCTGAGTGACCCCTGAGTGACCACTCACCCCCCAGGCTGCTCAGGGTCCCTCTGGCCGCGGCCACGGCGCTGATGCTGCCCCACAGGCTCAGGGCCACGCCCACCACACGGCACCTGCGGGAGGCCACACCTGGGGGCGGGGCCACATCCCAGACACACCCCTCCCCTAAATCCCCCCCGCTTCCCAAAATCTTCCTGATTTTCCTCCCCCCAAAAATTCCATTTTCTCCCCAAAGCCCCTCCCCATTGCAGCCCTGCCCCTTTAAGCCCCGCCCCTCACCTGTCGGGCAGGTGAGGCCCCACCAGGGGCAGCAGCAGCTTCACCCCCAGGGCGGGGACGACGTCGGCCAAGAGCACGGCCTGAGGGGCGGGGTCAGGCCACGCCCACCCAGACACACCCACCCCAGTCAGCCCCACCCAATGAAGCCCCTCCCCTTAAAGCACATTTCATTTTAAGCCCCACCCCGTTAAGCCCCACCCCTTTAATCCCCACCCATTAAGCCCCACCCCATTGAGCCCCACCCCTTTAACCCCCACCCATTAAGCCCCACCCTGTTAAGCCCCACCCTGTTAAGCCCCACCCTGTTAAGCCCCACCCTTTTAACCCCACCCCTTTAATCCCCCCCCCCCCT